AGAAGGAGATTCAGGGTATTGAAAGCAAGGACAAGCAGATTCAAGAACAGCTTTTACCCAAGTGCAGTATTGAGTTTAAATGTGGGGTCATAAGTTTTTGGTGGAATTTTAATTGCTGGGAGAAATGGGGTATCTATATTGGTATGGTGAGTGTTGTGTATATTTTATTTTTATTTTTTTATTTTTATTTTTTTTTTTGGTAGTGGTGTTGTCCAGTTTTACCTTGGGGAAGAGCACCTCATTTCGTTGCACCCACTTGTGAGTGCAATGACAATAAATTTCTTATGTCTTATGTCTTATGTAGTAGGGACCCACATTTTTGGGGACTCTGAAGCTTGCACTATTATGGGAGAGATGCTTCACAACCAGCGACAAGGCCTGAGTAACCACTGTTATCTTCTTCAATGCAGTTGCTCCATGATGGGTCACAATAGTTTGTTTTTTTAACTTGCCTCTGGCCCCTTCTGTAATTAGGAGCCCTGAAACTGAAGGTTCATTAGTTTCATAGCAGATCCGCCCCTGGTTAAAGAAGCCCAGTACCTTGAGGAGTCTAAAGGCAGTCATCCAGCATGTCCTGCTCTGTTCATCCTCGGCACACAGCAACCTCAATTCTTTAGTTTCATTTCTCACTCTGTTGGGCTACAAAAGAGACAAGACACAATTCCTCATCATAAAGACAAGAGACTTGCAGTGTAAGTGTAATACTTAGGAGTACTAATATCTTGGAAATGCTCACAGCCGCACCTCGCAAGGTAAGGTAGGCAGGGACCAACGTACTGCTGACCCCTTATCCCAGAAAACAGCACAGAAGCTGTGATAACAATATGTCTGAAGTCATTCAGTGGGTATGTGGTTCAGGTGAAATGTAAAATAGGGGGCTTTCCTACTTATTCCAGCAACTGCCACAATGGGACAGTACTAAGAGACAGGTACAGTATGTGTTTCTAATCTCACAATCCCACTTCTTTCTTACAAAGAGGGCATTTTTAATGAAATCATAATTAAAGTAAATAAGTAAAGTAAAAGAAGGTAAAACCTGCACAGCCTCCAGATAAATGCTGTGAACCGCACCCCAACGGAACTGGATAAGGAATATTAATGACAGCAGTGGTCACAGCAAAAATAAACACTAGGATGAAGCTAACAAGGGGCTCAGATCTTACAAGTGAGCTGGGATCTGTGTTCAAATTCATTTAAATGGGAAACACCATCTTGTATCAGAGAATGCAGAATACAACTGGGACCATTACTTTATTTTAAGTCACATGAGAGATCCAAATGGGTTTTAACATTGCTACTTACAGAGCTTCTGAGTATAATACATGATTTCTACTTCTTAAGGAGAAAAAAGCATGAGTAATGTACCTTTATACAAAATCCATAATCTGTAGGAGCACTGTACAGTTTCTTGCCAGATATCAATGAGAAGATATTGCTATCTTCAAGGTCAGCTAACAACTGCAGGTGTCTGGGTTCCTGTGAAAAATGTTTGCAGTGTTTAATGTTATGCAGTTAAGCCAGCTCAACTTCTAAATTATCTAAAAGTCAATACAGAGCCACAAGAGGGCAGTAAGAACTAACAAAAAAGGTTCATAACCTACAATCATATCAGAGACACAAAACAAAACAAAAGCAAAAAGTTGAGGCACTTTAAAGACAAATGGCTATATTTTAATTTTACATTAATGTAAAATTAAATTTTATAAATTGAGATATAGTAGCCATGGTACACAGGATATATTATGCCTCAAGAAAGCAATCAAGCAGTCCCACACAATTGTTTTTTTCTGTGATCACATGCAACCATTAAAATTAGACTAATTTTAAATGTAAGCTAAAATACAACATTAAAATATTCCATTAAAATATAGCATTTAAAGTACTTTAAGTCTTTAAAGTACCACAATCTTTAAAGTACCACAATGTTGTTGTTTTCTTTTTGTTTGTTTCTTGTTGCAATGCTTGCACAGACTAACATAGCTACAACTCCAAAAGTCACATAAAAGACCTACATGTCCAACACCATCACATATGAGACCATCCAAGATGGGATATAACAATAAAAAACTTTAATACATTCTCACATCAACTATCTAAATAAAATATCTATGGCATTTTTATTCCAATCAAGTACATTGCTGCCTCGCATAGCGAGGTTAATCCGTTCCGGATTAACCTTCGCTATGCTGAAGCATCGCTGAACGGGGCAGCGATTTCCATTGGAATGCATTAAACATCGTTTAATGCGTTCCAAATAGGCCAAATACTCACCGTTCAGCGAAGCTTCAGGATGGCCGGCAGCCATTTTCGCGCCCTCGCCTCGCTTAACGAGGGCGCGAAAACGCTGCGCGCAGCCATTTTAGGCCATTTCCCGGCTTCCGGCGGCCATTTTGGCCGCCGAACAGCTGATTGTCGGGCTTCGTTTTGCGAAGATCGGTAAGCGAAACGCTTACCGGTCTTCGCAAAGCAAATCGAGCCCTATTCAAAAGACGTTAAGCGATCGCATTAGCGATCCGAAAAAACGGATCGCTATGCGATTTCGTCGTTATGCGGTGCGCTCGTTAAGCGAGGCACCACTGTATTAAAATGCTTCAGTCTGTGAACCCCCAAGGAGCACAGCATTTCTCTGTGGAATGTCCAATCAGAGTTGTGTTCTTCCCTATTTTTGGACTGCAGCACCCACATTTTTCCTGAAATTCCCCAGGCAGAATTCTGGGAGGTGCAGCCCAGAAACGTAGGACTACAGACTAATTTTCCAGTTATTTACCTCCCTTGCTGCAATCTCTGGTCAACTTCTTCTTGAAGCTCCCATGGTGCTACCTAGAAAATGTAGGTCTTCTGGGGAGTCATAGTTCTTCAAGATGCACTCTTCATTCCCATTGCCTAATGAGCAATGAGATTCTAACTTTCAACACAAAAGGGCACTCCCAAGCTGGTTGGTCTGTCATCATGTACCAACTAGCATTGTGTACCATGAGATGCAGTAGACTGTTATTTTACACCAGTGGTGGGCAATTAATTTCTATACGGGGGCCACATGAAAAATCTGAACTGTGTTCGGGGACCAAACCAACTTTGCTTAAATATAAAATGAAATAGTGATGTTATGGTTGTTTTTATTTTAAACTTGTTAATCTTCACAAATACTAAAGAGTTTTTTTGCAGTATGGTGGTTGTGTGTTTTTCAGGCTCTTTGCCCATGTTCTGAAGATTGTTCTTCCTAACGTTTTACCAATCTCTGTGGCCAGCATCTTCAGAGGACAGCACTCCTCTGAAGTATGTTAAAAATAAGTAACTGATCAACTTTAGACAAAAAGCTATGAATGGTTTTGGTGTTCAAAACTGTCCACAGGCCAGACAAGAGCGGCTCACAGGCCATATGTGGCCCTTGGGCCACACTTTGCCCAGGTCTGCTTTACACTTAGATGTTTTTACACTTTAAATATATTAAGTTGCCCATTTTCAACGAGATCTGTTCCCTTTGGAATTTAAATTGTTTTGAGTTGTCTTTCCACTGGAAAAGCACATAAAAAAAAGATATTAAGGTTTTTTTAAAAAGATATGAGCAATGGATAATATTGTTTGAATGTTTTTTCTTTTAATGTACATTAAGATTAATAAGGAGAGCTGTACCTAATGTTCATTTCAGTCTTAAAAGTTCTAAAGGCCGCTTCTGTTAAACTAATCTAAGCAAAATTACCTTTGAAGACCCTTTTGTAGAGCAATACAGTCCAGATCTCCTCAGACAAGCATATAGCTTCTTCCACGATTTCTTTCCAAGTTCTTTCACGTGCAAGAACCCTTGAATTTCTGGACAGCTACTTGAATTCAAAAAATTCTGTTGAAGATTAAATTGTTGAATTGTACAGTTACAATGCAGTGGTGCAGGCAACTGAAATTAAGTACATATCACTAATTACTGCAGCAGACAATATTTTTCATGCTGGGAATTCAAGACTTATTAGAAATGTGCCATCAAATACTTCAGAGAATTGGCATTTTCTTATTTAGTTCCTCTGTACAGAACGTATTCTGACGCTGGTAAGTACTCCAAAAGTCTCCTATACAGGACTGCCTTCTTATCTTGAGGAAATTGTCACTGACCAGGGGCCAACATAGTCCATGGCTTGCCACAAGGGCAGACTTGTGACTTGGCAGCAGGTTATGGTTTCCCAATGAATGTTCCTGTACAACAGCCATATTGGCTAAATTCATACTTGACATTTTTTAGTTAAACATTAGGCACATAAAAATATTCAATGGCCATTGTGTTGAGAAAGGATATTTTCTATGTCATGGAAAAAAGAAACAATACATTAAAGATGCTGACTGTTATGTTCCTACAGACGTACAAAGGTTCCTGGCCAACACTGCTTATAATACAGGTACTTAAGTAAAACAAATGTTCCACTGATTATCATGAATCTGGATCTCTCTCTGGATCACTTTTACCTGTTTTTCCATCTAAATAAAACCGCCTCCAAATCAAGCTCTTATTTATTCCACCAAAGGTTCCTTTATTGCTTCTGCTCTTTCATATACTCCCTTCATAAATATTAGCCATTCTTCTTTTATTTGAATAATTGTGTAGAACTTTCTAAGCAAACAATAATCATCCTTCAATTATCTTATTCCTAATTGTCATTAACTCGAAACTGGTGATAGAGTGAAAGGAGTCTTCTTTTCCTTACTCTTGAAGAGTATATCTGGAGCAACAGATTGCATATTACGGGACTAAAAATTATTCTGTTACTGGCAATTACAATGGATAATTTTTGTAGTACAGCTTCAGGAGGATCACTGTGGAACGAATTAAAGGGCTATTTAATCTTTCTTTGCTAGTCAACCCCAGGATTAGAGTGTTAGCCTCCTTTTCAAAGATGGCAGGCCTAGGGAAACAAGATGGAGGCTTGTAAGGGGGCAAGCTTTTTTTCAACAGGGCCCATCCCTGCAGTTCACTGTTCCAAATTTATTCCCAATCTCAATAGCCAGAACCCTATATATTTTTCCATAAAGTCCTTTTAAAATGTTCAACTGGGCAACCATGATGCACCCATCATTTTGGTAATCAACCACAACAAGCTACACAAAGCTTACATAAACATCAGTGTGTTTTTCCCCAACTCCTTTTCTGCAGGACAGGTGAGAGGCAACCAAAACAGATATATTTCGCAAATACACTGGAATCAAAATATGTAACAGTTTTCACACCTGTGTATCAGAAGCCTGAGGTTTCTTGAAAAGCAAAAGTAAAACCACAATGTGCCAGTATACATGCATGGAGTCTTTTCTGTGAAGAACACTCCATGCATGAACTCCCATCCTTAATCTCATGAAATCTGACAATCTGCGTTAATCACACTAAAGCAACTTTATAAGTTTGTCACATTTCATGAGAACCAATTATTTCATAATAATGTGTTTCAACTGCCCTTTCGTTATAAAAGAAATAATAGGTGGCAGAAATGTTAACTTAGATTGTGTCACAAGATATTTTATATACAGATGCCAACATTTATTTAAAAGCTGCTATAGTACAGTTTAGACTCAACACTGTGTTAGTTATATAACTTCCTATGCTTAAAGCATGCAATTCTCTACTCTGTCTATTCAAAAACATATTAGTCCCTTTGCATAACTGCAATCTCAATTGTACCATACCTGTAAGAGTTGTGACTGTGGAATACAGCCATTTGACTGCTGACACCAAGCAACCATCTGCTCTGGAAAAAAGTTCTGGGATAGGTACGGGTTGGGGAAAAGAGATAAAGTAGAAGGCTTCAGCTCTCTCCATGCATTCAGAATTCTAATTGTGTTGAAGAAATAGGGACACACATGCGAGTCCCTCTCTCTCCACTGCTAACATTCCCATATTGAACTGAACATCTGAAAAGACATACTTACACATGTTAAGCACAATGAAGTTACAAAAAAGGCTGAGAATAGAGAGGATGGGCCAGTATGCATATCTCAGTGTCCATTCCAGGAACTGTCAAATGCCTTGTGGCAGTAGAACACAACCTTAATTTTTGATATACAGTCTGGATAACTTCTGAGTGAGGAGTGGGGAGCATGTGCCCTTCCAGATTAGTGCACTACCATCTCCATGATCCCAAGTGATTGACTGATAATCCTGGTGAGGGATGACAGTTGTTCCCATCCAACATAATCTAGCAGACTACATATTCCTCACCCCTACTTTAAACTATTCTAGCAACACGATGAGTATCTATTTTCTGTGGGCTCTCACAAAGCTAATGCCATGTTTAAAAGTCTGCAACCATATGGATAGGGCTAATAGTATAGCACCTTACCCCAAAACCATCACCCAAATGGAACTGAGGATGGGCAAGGGTTATATCTTCAGAACCTGTGTAACTGTTCCATTCAAAGTGCTGCAAGCTTTTAAATATTACAGCAACAACATGGGATGATCTCGTAGGCACTACTGTCACTTTCATTGCTTGAACAAGAAAAAATAATTTTAGATTTATAATCCCTTCCACACTGGACTCGAACTCTCAGGATTTCAATTTACCATCCCTCTTCACCCTGTTGGCATATGCCAAAAATTCAAAACATGATTTTGTTCATCTGCAAAGTATTGACAAAACCTGAATTATTCTTTAGTACATGAGAACTGAAAGACTACTGAATTCAAAATTGAAAAAGAATTTATGGTAACCTTAATAACTATGTGAGGTTAAATTATGTATGCCCCTGATTGATAGACAGATTGAATGAAAGGAAAATACAGCAAGAGAGAGATGGCTTAGAATTCACAAATGGTTCCTGGAACTCATCAAGTTACCATCAAGGTTTAATTATCACTCAACATTTCTACAATTATAGGAAAGAGCTTCTTGTACTTCTTAGTTTAAGACATTTAAGCACCTACTCAGTACTTTTAAAGTCCAAAGTTGTGCCTCCTAGGACTGGGTCAAATTCCCTCAGCCACATTGACAAAAATGATGTTTGCTTCCTATCTTGATGTGGCTAAATTAAAACTGCAAAATGAGGGCATTTGTTCGAGACTAGTGACAACCCCATAAGCATCCTAAGGTGTATCATAAACTAGTAAAACCGATAACCTCTTAAATCTGTAGCTTAAAGCTATTCTGGTATAGTGGGTGTTAAGAGGTTTAAAATGCTGTACAACAGGTTGGTTTACCAACACAAATGCATACTGCTAACCACAGAATGCTCATTTAAGAGTTACAGCATAAAGTACCTCAACTGAATTTGTAAGGGCTAGCTGATAGAAACAGAATATACCGTATTTTTCGCACCATAAGACACACTTTTCCCCCCACAAAACGGGGTGTGTGTGTAGAAAGTCTGTGCGTCTTATGGAGCGAAGAAAACAGATTATATTTTCCTGTTTTCTTCTCCTAGAAATTGGTGCGTTTTATGGAAAGGTGTGTCTTATGGAGCGAAAAATACGATAGTTAAGTGGTACTAATCAGTTTATAGATAACAAAATACCTGATTACACTGCATTCAATTTCTTGAAAAATGATTTCCTGCCCCCGCTCTGTTTTAACAAAAATTAACACAGAGGAGACACTATGCCAAAGATAATTAAAACTTCTGGGCTTTCAAATAGGTAAGCCATCATTATTCACTATACAAAGTACATATCTAGGCCGCTGCTTTTAGATACATGTTGAACATACAAAGCTGCCTTGTAATGTTCCAGCACTGGGGCTGACAGTAGCAGCTCTCCAAGATCTTCCTGGCCTTTCTGAGATCATTTTAACTGAACATTCCCCACTTTTCATATTGTACAATCTGCAGATGACAGATTTTTATCAGGACTATAGATCACGATTACACAACAGAAATCATATAGTACTTACCACAGGATTCTTAAAGAATTCATACTTAGCATAATTCTTCCTGAACAAAAATTTACTTTCACTTCCCATCGTAGATTCAACTTGAACAACAAGTTCATGATCTTCCAAGCATCTCTCTATAAAAGATTTTTAAAAATGTTTTCCATTTTTTTGAATGAGATAGCTGGGGAGTTGGTTCATATATACACATGTACATGCATATACAGAATTTAAATATATATACAGACATATTGTAATATTTATAATATATCTTTTGTTTCAACAAAGACTTCCCAACACTCTCTTATAGTTGTCTGCTATACAAGAAGACTGGCAATGATCAATCTGCTCTATTTCACGAAGATCTGTCCTTTAGTTTTCTAACACTGAGGGTATGTTAAGTAAGTGTCGAATGAACTTGAGGACTCAACAGAACACCATGTAAAAAACAGAGACATCATCAGCAGTGGTAGCTTTTAGGGTATTTGTAACTCAATGCAATGAAGTTCTGTGCACCCCAAAATCCCCAAAAGGTTTAATCAGTGGCCATTTGTCACTATTGGTGATACCATTTCACCTAATATGTGCATTTTTGCAATCCATGTTTTATTTATCTCTCATTTTGTTTCAAGGAAAGCTTATTGTGCCTGTGGCTCTGGGGATAAATTGAACAGTGGCTTAGGGATCTGACTGTGGAGCCAGAGGTTGGGAGTTTGATTCCCCACTGTGCCTCCTTGACAGGAGCTGGATTCAATGATCCACAGGGTCCCTTCCTGCTCTACAGTTCTAACATTGTTGTTGTTTTCACCTGCTTACCTACTGCATAATTTCTAACTCATTTTTTTCCAGGCTGAACACTGTTTTCCTTTTAGGAAAAAGAGAGGCAAAAGTCTTGAGCAGTTCTCTCACACCTTCTAGCATCTCTCATATTTTCCACAGAGCAGACTTACTGCTTCCTTGTCCTTCCTCTTGCTCCAAACAACAGCCACAAATAAAACAAAATAACCACTCTTCTAAGCCTGAATTAATTTGAATTTAGTCCTCCTGTTCTTCTCCCTGAAAATACTGGTAACTAATTTTTACAGCAGTGGAAAAGAAGACGACCAAATAAGAGATGAGCTGACTCCCTAAAGAAAGCCATAGGCTTGAGTTTACAAGAGCTGAGCAGGAGAATTGAGGACAGGACATTTTGGAGATGGCTCATTCACAGGATCACCATAGGTTGGAGGCAACTTAACAGAATATAATAACCACCGCCACAATCACCACTATGAACTTCCCTCCATTTCAGTGTTTCTCACAAGAGCCACTTGGAAGTTTCTAAGCTTTCTGAAACAGCTTTCGTAATATCCAGAATGTGTGTGTAACCATCTTAGTTTTCTATTTTACTCTCTATATAACTAAATCAAAGGGGATATGCTCCCTTCCATCCATAGTTCTGTCTTCTTCTACCTTACATTTCTTTCCTGCTGGCAGAAATTAAATCCAGGATATCACTTTGTTTCCTGGGCATTTGAATCCTGCCATTACTATCATGTCAGTTTCTCTTTTGAGCATGTAGTAATATGACCCGGAAATCATTACCCAAATCTTCCATCTAGTTTGCAGTAGTCTCCTACAGTGATGCTATGATTGTTTCCTGATGTTTATTCCATGCTCCAAGTCACAGATCTCCCAGCACGTGTACACAACCCTCAATAATAATACTACTGTTCCTTCCTTTCTGTTTATTTCCATTCTCTGCTTATTTCCATTCTCTTTGGCCCCAGCAGTTTACTTTCAATTTCACTGCCATGGGTAAAATGAAATCAGGGCAAGGTGCTTTTATTTTTTTTTCAACTGCAGAACAGAAATTCAACTTCCTTAATTGTAACTGCTAGACAACAGTGTAATTTAAGACTTGTGAGATATAAACTACTCTCTACAAGGTTTGGCTGATCATTATAAATCATATATAAATATCTCTCCTATGATGTAGCAGGTATGTTGTAACCAGGAATACCTATAATCCATTCTATCATCTCATTAGATTTCAATAATGACTATTACACAAGATTTGGCTTCCTCTGTTAAGATTTTAAGTTCATCTTGTTTACTAACTATACTATGTATAAAGACATATGAAACCATACATCATCTCCTCCTGCTTCTCTTTTACTGTTTCTCCTACACTGCCAGTTCAGTTTTTGGTGCATTACTGACACAACTGTCCTCAGTACTTGATGTTTATTATCCTTTGGAATACTGCCTCATTCTCTGGAAAATTTACTCTAAAATATTCCTGATCAGGTTTGCAGGACTCTTGACTAATATATTCTTCCCAGCCTATGTGAACTGTACCCCATGTTCTGTCTTTCACAGGTCCTGATCCAAGAATACACACTCCTTCCTGAAAACACCATCTGCACAGCTGGTTGTTTACTTCAGAATGTTTGTATTCCATTCTAGGCCATGACCTTCAGTAGGAAAGAATTATGAAATAATAACTGTGCCCCAAGTCCTTCACCTTTTACCCAGGAACTTATTGTTCCTTGCAATAAGTTGGAGGCTGTCTGGAAATATCAGAGCTTGGAACATTAGGTTTAAAAATTAATCTTTTGCTGTTAAGTGTTAGAAGGCAGAACCTTAATTTGTTGCTGTTAATAAAGGTTAAAATGTCTAATTTGTTGAATTGGCATTATTAATTTGCTCTAATAGAAGTTAAAGTGCTCTTCTGACTACCTGTTACTGGCTTTCTCAAAAAAAAATTTTTTTTTCTCCCTTTCAAAGTGCCTTCCACAATCTTACACCTATTTCTGTACAGACCACAAACCTCATAATATAATTAATTAGCTGCGGGATAATGAGATTCAGCATGTCACAAGTTGCAAAAAACTGTGTGCCATGAAACATGGGATCTCATCTCCTCATGAACAGGGGGGAAAACACTCACCATCACCATACCACCAGTTCTATATAAAGTCAATAATTCTTTCACACCTTCCACACAGACTTCTGAGTACAATTGTTTAGAAGCTATTGTTGAAGGTAAATGAGCATTGAAATAAATTTACTCAGTGCTCAGGCTTACTCTGCTGTATTCATGTCATAGAAAACTATTTTCTACTATACCCACCATGTTCACATGTTGGGCACATAACTGAAAAATAGTAGCTTCCAATCTCTCATAGAAAATTCAACAAGCAGCACTGAGAGTGGAGGCACATAAAAAATAATACACGTTTTCACATGTGTTTAATCTTCATCATGTGAGAGCGAAATGAAAATAGAGGGAGGATGATCCTAAGTCTCTATTTTTGCATGCTGTTTCAGGCTGCAATGAGAGAGGAATGATATACACAAAGAAATAAGTCTCATCTGGTGATACAGGGTTCTTAAGATTCAACTGCGCTTATGCGAGTAAAGGACTGGAAAGTTAAACATTTCCAATTCTTCATCTTAGACAATATATGTTTCCCACACTGAAGTCAAAGCTGTCTGGGGACAAACAGGCCTGGTGGCAGGAAAATGAGTCACCTGCCAGTCTTTATGTTGGAATTAATTTTAAGTTATGGATTAGATAAGGGAAGACAATATAGCTTAATTACACAATTTTACCTTTTTGTTTAATGATGTCCAGCCCAAAGCATACAAACTCCTCTTGCAATGAAGGGCTAAATTAAGTGTATACAAAGTCACAAACAAAAGTAGTGTTTCTGAAACTACAAACAACAACAACTCAGTTGACCCAACTCTTTGGAAATGTTTTCAGATAATGTTGAGGGAGGCCATGCAAATCATCTCAGCTTTCCTTTCATGCCAGAGGCTGGCTTTACGTCAAATACAAACTTTCAAAAGCATTTATAAGAACTAAATTAGCCATGGAAACCTGGAAGCCAACAGTTTTCAGTCATGTGATTGTCCTATGATGATGGCCAGGTATAATAGGAAATAAGTTTTTATAACATGAATAGCCATGCAGAACAGAAAGCCTGGAAGATGAGTTTTTCCCCAATATTCACTGTACAGGAATAGCTTCTCTGATATTGTGTCAAGAAGTGTATGTGAAAGAAGAGTTATTAGCTCTGTATACAACAGTGATTCCAAAACTTAGGGTCTCAAATGTCTTTGGACTGCTACTCCCAGGTCGTGAACCCCAGGTTGTGAGCACAGTTTTGGCTGCAGTACAGCGGTTTAACCACTGCGCCACAAGGCAATATCCGAAAGAAAAACAGAGCTGCCTCGGGTCCTTTTAAAGAGAAAGATGGAATAAAAATATTTTAAACACACACACACACTTACACTTTGGTGGTGTCTCCTACAATCTCTTGACAACTCAGTTCTAGAATCCAAGCAGCTGTAACTCACAGGCACTCAGGAAGCTGCCTTATATTGAGCGGAACCTTCCATCTCTGTCCTCTCAGTACTCTGGCTGGCAACCAATCTTCAGGGCTTCACATGGGATTTTTTTTTCCTAGCCATGACCAGGGATCTCTGGAATCCCATTATAATTTCTCATTCAGGTACCAATCAGACCCAACCCTGTTTTATCTTCTGAAATTAGAAAAAGCTGGATAAGGTGATTCCCATTTAGTGTAATTGGATGATCGTCTCCCAAAGCATATATTTGCTGGACAGATTGCTGTATGTGCTCTGTTGTGTGATGGGCAAAAGGAACAATTCAAGGACTCACCGAAGACAACTTTGAAGGACTGCAATATTAACCACATCCATTGGGGAGTTCTCAGGCAAAAACAAAATGTGTGGTGAAAGGCTGTCAGACAAACAGTTGAAAATTTTGAAATTAAAAGAATCAAGGATGCACCAAGAAAGAGAGATATGAGAAAGTAAGGGTGTGCCATTCCAACAGCAAAACAGGTCCAGGACTACCTGCCCTGCCCACACAGTTCCTGTTTCTCCTGATTTTGTACTGGGCTAGTTTTGCCTGCATGTCCATCAGCATTTTAAAAACTCTTTTCTCCTAAATGTTGTTATGTCCTGTCAAGTTGCCTCCAACTCATGGTTACCCTTTAAATGATCGATATGAGCAATCCCCAAAATGTCCTGCCCTCAACAGCCACGTTCAGCTCTTGCAAACTCAAGCGTGTGGTTCCTTTAGGGAATCAATCCATCTCATATTTGGTCTTCCTCTTTTCCT